AATTCCTTGGCATCAGAAAGACGATGACCATAGCCCATTATCCATCTCATGATGGAATGGTGAAGAGATACAACGATACACTTTTAAGTCAATTAGCAGTTAATATGGATGAACATCATAAAGTATGGGATCAAGATCTTCGACTCCTTTTGAACTACAGGCGACATGCCAGCATCAGTGATGTGTGGGAGATAACTCAGAGTGCAATTGGATCTTCTGTACTAGTACCATGAGGACCATCACTCACTCTCAGCTGAGTCCTACAGAATCTTCAGTCATACTAGAACATTGTTGATGCTATATATGACTATATCCAAGAAAGAATTTAATTAACTAGCTAAAATAAGATAACTAGGTAACTAAGATAAAAGTCGCTATGATGCTAATGCTGAGAAGACTGGATTTCATCATGGTGACGTAGTATAGCTGTATAATCTTCACTGCAAAAGATAGATCCCAAAGTTACGTAGATGTTGGAAGGGATCCTATGCTATAGTCAAAGAATCAGTGATATGGTTTATAGAATACAGAAAGGCTGGCAGTCAAAGCCATGGACAGAACTACATATCTTACTGATTAAGTCCATGAATCCACGACCCCCATCTCCTAAGTACAAAACGAGGCGTGGGTGCAACAATAATTTAAAAAGTGGTTAAGATCCCCCTCACGCAAATTGCTCTTTGAGCCCCATGATGTCTAGTTGCACCACTGATAAAACCAAAGGGTACTCACCATGATAGTTTTAGGAAGCACATCGGCAAGAGAAGAGCCAACTCATTAGCCTCAGAGAAGAGATTACCAGTGATAAGTCAACCTGCTGAAGAGCCTGACGTTCCTATAGAGACCACTTCCATTTTAACCGGGATAGAACCACCAGTGGATTCCCTCGACCATCTGTCTGAAGAGTACTCTCTTAGTGACAAGCCAGCAAGTGTTAATGAAAGGGAGTGCGGAGAGGCATCCGATCTTTGTACCATAAACCAGAAAAGCAAATATCACCCCAAAGATTTGATAAATGGATAGTAAATAAGTACAGAAAGATATATATATATATATATATATTTGTGTGTGTGTTTGAATATGTAATAGTTGTTCAAGGGATTCTGCAATTCAGAGAGAGAGCTAGGTTTTAGGCTATGGTTCTTATATTTTAATTTTATTGTTCCCTGAGGAATTTTCACGTGATGAGCATGTAGCTCAGTGACTAGAATTTTCCTGAGTATGAGAAACGACTTAAACAGTGTAAAAGCGCGAAATAGAATAGTAAACTGTTGATTGATTATTGAGTTTATGTTAGTTTAGCACTTTTAATTTAAAGAGTTTGTTTCAACGAAGTACTAGAGAAACGTAATAAGTTACATGGACGTCACCAGATGGTCACGGAAAATACGTAGTGCAAAACTACTAAACGTCTTGTTATAATTTTATATTCATAACTTCTTTTGTTTGTTAATGTGTTAGTTCAATCTGCTGCCCTATTTCGTTTTTCCAAGTTTTTTAGATGAGCATTGCAACATAGCTTTCACTTATTTAAAACTATCGAAAGATCGTCGGCGCGCGACTGACCAGAACCTTGGCTACGAACAATGAATGTACTGCTGTTACTAACTCGCATCTTACTTAAGCCTACATGGTTTAGTTATTTCAAAAAAGACTCATCCCTAAAAAATCCTGACCATTGTTCTTAGCAATTGAGTGATAAGTGGTATTTTTTTGAGAAGTTAGGCCTATTGTTTGGTTAGTTACGTTAAAGGTGCATTGAAATTTGTGGATCTTTTATCAAAGAAATAAAACACTATTAAGTGGACAGGACATTGCTTTATTTTTATCGAATCACAAAAAAGAACTCGACCATCAAAAAGAAACCTTTACAACATTGTATGACTGTTTTATCATGGTCGCTAGAAATGTTTTACTATATTTAGCTAGGCTTAATCCACTCTGTTATTGTTTTGTTATTCTTGCCAGATTCTCAAACAGCTATAAAGCTCTACACGAAGAAAACAAACTAAAAAAAAAAGTGGAATGTTACTTCAGTCAAGTAATATTGGTGAAACTGGTCTGTTATTTTTGCATTGGTTTTCTATACTGTCGAAAAAATTGCGTATAATTATTCTACGTAAATAAAACCATTTATATTGATGAACAATATATCATTAATTACGGTAGTACTTAATAGGAGGGATCGTGATGGAACAAAATGGCGATCATAATCAGATGTAATGTTCATTTTAAAAGTTTAAGTGCTTGTTTTACAACCTACTATAGTGCAGATGTATAAAACAAACAGTTTTGTAAATTTGCTGGTCTTGTCTTCGTAGTGTGTATAGTTGTTTCTATTCGTGCTATTTTATGTAAATTAGTTTAGCGCATGGTATTGATTACGTAATTAAAGAATAACACTGGGCCATTTTCTTCCCCGTAACTCAATTTCCTGAGTCGATAAAGTACTTAACAAGTGTTTAAAGTTTAGATAAATGTAAATCAACCACAATTGTTGTCTGTTAAATAAGAATAGCAGTTAAGAGGCTACGAATTTGTCGGGAAATTCTGTAGGTATTTCGTATTTACTCGAGTTACCGCTTGACATAGAAATTAATTCATAAGTAAGTTCATGTAAATGACATTTTAATGTATTTTAAAGTACACAAACTTTGATAGATAGTTTAGAAACTTGGAAAACCATCTTATACTATGTCGCGTTGAATTTAAAGTTAAAAAATGGAAATTATTTCAGTTTTTTTTTTCTTTGTAGTTAATGTTAATTTTTTCATAATTATTTCTGTATCATTAATGACAATATTCCAACAGCAAATCCCTTATTATTTTTAAAATCATCATGATATCTTTATCTTAGCAATTAAAATATTCTTTGGGAATTGCATATATTATTACCAGTACTAACTGGGCCTGTGTATTACACTTATATTATTGTACAATAGTGAACGCCCACTCAATATAAAATCATATATCCATTTTTTTTTCTCGGTGGCTATCGTAGAAACACGATTATGAGGCATAAGCCTCTGTATAGATACAGGTATAAAGAGTAGTTATTAAAACGTTTCAACAAAAGGAAATAATTTTAATTTATGTAAAGTCATGAAATAAAGAGCAAGGTTAATTTTATAGTTATAGTTTATTGTTGAAAGCTGTATAAATGATAAAAACTTTTTGCAAATATCTATACCAAACAGTTGATTACTACCTTGTAAGTTGTATAAATATGGTTTATTGTCAGTGTTTTATTACATTTAGCTAGGCATAAACCTTTTTATGATTATACTAGCGAAACTACCTGGCTTCGCTCTGGTTATGAGATGGATATATTCCAGATGACTATATCAGTGTGTGTAATCTGAACCCATTTTAGCATAAAAGTATAACCTATATACTTTTGTTGCTCCTTTACAGAATGTGGCCTGTTTAGTGCTTATAAAGGTAATCTTCCCTCTGACTTGTCCAAATAGTTTATTCAGGAATACATATAGTAAAACTTTCTGACTGTCTGCATAACTGATGCATTTCGATAATCCTATGTTTCAAAACAACATTATGTTCAACAATAAAATATTCTTACATTTTAATATATGTAATGTGTAAACTGGCCTTATTTGTTACTCCTTTTTCTGTGTGACTAAAGTGAATTTATTTGTTTTTCTCATGACTGTACACACCTAAATGGGAACCCTGGTAGGAAAATGATAAAACAGTCCAATCTAGGTATTTCCTACCCACTTCAATACTAATAGCTGCTCTTTTCATGATGATTTAGCTCACATAAGAGGGAATCTCTAGATTAAAAGTCACTCAACCAAAAACCAAAACAAAATTAAGTCTTTCATACCCAGTTGTCTTTGTGGTTGGTATTCTGACATAAAGAGTGATAGATATATGTAAGTGAAAAATTCTGATGTGACTTGCATAAGGATTTGTACCCCTCCAAAAAAAATAACCAAGACTACCATGCACTGGATGATGTTTTTGTATCATTTTTAACATCTGAATATTTCTCTCATATTTAGTTCTGTGTAAGTAAAACATTTATATTTATAATAATGAAATAGTTATTCATCACCCCACAAAAACCTTCAAGTAAACCCTGTATTTTGATGCATTAAAACAGATAACATGGAACCTGAAACATCATCTCCAAACTGAGCAAAATGGCAGCAAAAGTTCTTAGAAAACTTGGTGCACATGTTGAACTTGTGACTTTAGTCTACTTTAAGAGTTTGTTTTGTTCAAATGTACTTTAATGCCAAAAACATTCAGCTAGAACAAGGAACTTAGAAAATATCTAGTTTTTTTTTTTCAGTTTGAAAGTTTACTTACTGCCCATGAGTCTCATCTAGAATAAATTGTATTCAATCATTAATTTTTTTCTTATGGAAAACAATGGCTGTTGTAACAAGAGGGACTAGATGCAAATAATTATATACTTAGTATTTGTATAAGTAGTTTTGTTGCTAATGAGATTTGTGTTTTTTTAAACTTCTTTTTTGTGGACATTAGAAGTTATTATAAATAATTCTATGGCCATACAAATAGCTCAAATAGATAAAAGCTTTGTTTACACACTTTCACCTATAAAAACCTTGAGAAATGTGAATTCAGATGTAGAAACAATGACCTATAAAAACAGTGATAATTTTATCTTATAATGTTTGTATTTTGTATGTATTCTGACCTTGCAAAAACCACATGACTGTTGTAAGATAATATATACAAAGATTTTCTATAACTTTCAATTTTACTGTATTTTTCCCCATTGTAGATTTCTTATTGTTTTGACCTGCAAGTGAATTATCAATTTATATCGGGTAACTTAATGTATGAAGTTCTGAATGTTAGTTTTTTCTTGTTTTTTATTTATCTATACATTTTTTAGTGTTATTTTAAGAGGGATTATGTTTTACTTTTTATTTCGATTTACACATAATAGTAAATACCTGTTAAAGCTCACTGTTCTCCTTAACTTTCTTCTGGTTTAATTTCAGATTGAAGATAGTGATGAAGTGGATTTTGATAATGATGTGGTTGACATGTCATTTCCTGCTAGAGCAGCAGAGCAGGCAGAACACCTGGTACGAAGAGTACTAGAGGAGGCTGAACAAGCAGAACAACTTGTCAGAAAGGTTTGGGAAGAAGCCTGGAAGGTAAACATTAGTTCTTTGTTCTGTGTGTGTGTTCATCTTCTTTTTTTGTGAGTGAGAGAAACCTTAAAAAAATGTGAAATCATTGTGACCACTAAGTGCATCTAAGAGATGTTTGTTGATATAAAATGTTAGAAATAGTAATGATATGAATTTATGGGCAAAATTATAATAAACAATAAAATGAAAGACTAAAGTTATACATCAGGAAAATTCTCAATTTCAATTCCACTTTGATTAAAATTATTGACATTAATATCTTCTTTGTTTTACAATAGTTATCTTCGCGTGCATTGTTAGATAAGCATCTCAATTTAAATTTTTTGCATGTAGTTTGAAATTCTTGCAGAGACTGTTGTAATTAACTTTGCATTTGAATTTAGTTTTCATGTAAAAAAATCTAAAAATTCCATTTAAGACAAACAAGTGAAACTACTGGTTGTATGTAAGCTATTTCCATTCTGTTTTAACATTACTAGATGTTTGTATGGTATATTCATTGTTTTCATATGTAAATATGTAATGCTGCTCATGCATTTATATATCTCTATGTTAAACTTCTTAATTCTTATTGTTTATACTAGACAGTATTGTACCTTACTTAACCCACCAAAAAATGTTAAAAGTTGTTCAAGGTCACAGACTGGTTAACTTCAGCAACTTGAGGCCTTACGTAAGATTTCCTGTTTCTTTTCCTGTAAGGTTTTGTGATTTTTCCTCATTCACTGACAGAGTGTTGGGTGTATATTTATGTTGCAATAGTTTTCAAGGATATTTTTTGTACATGTTTGGCATACAGTTGAATTTAGTATAATTTGCCTTTTAGAGGGATAAAATTGTATTAATTATTTTTTAGCCACCTCATTTTAGAGCTAAATTAACACCACCTGTGAACCTTATTTTCACCATTTTGAGTCTGTAATGTTTTCTGAAATTCAGACAGTTTTATTGAATGTAACTGTTACCTAATGGTAACCCGATACTATTGGTCAAAATATTGCAATCATTAAAAGAAGAATTTCCCTACTGCAAAACTTGCTGTTATTATATTTTTGAAATAATACTTATGTTGTGTATGTGTTAAAGATACTTACTTAAAAGATTATGCTTTAAATTTGAACTGACATTAATGTCATTAATTGTTTATAAAATATTACTTGAGGTTTTTTACACACTGCTTGTAGTGAAAGTACTATGTATATAAACCATAGCAAAAGCATCTAAAGATTTAGCTCAGGTAAGGCATCTTTATCGTTGGACTGATCTAATGCTCAAGAAAAATATATTTCCATCTTAATCACAAACCACTGGAGGCTAAGATAATTGTTATATACATGTAGGTCAACCTAAAAGGCTTATCCATCAGAAGAAATTATTTTAATGTTTGAGTTGCTGGATTAAGCTAAACATTGCATTAAAGTTAACACTAATTGTTAACGTGCATTATATTAATCAAACTGACCATGTTTAAAGCATATCGTCTCATGTTATGAGACTATGGATTAATAATAATCAGTTTATTAGAAATTCATTTATGTGTATTCTTTTATCTGATGATCTGTGTTGTAAAACAAAACTTCCAGGTGATATAATGAATTGATTAGTTTGGAGTCTTATTAACTTCTTTTATTTAACAGTTTAGATGTAAAAAAATTTGCTCCTAGACTTTTATTTACTCAAAAAGATGAAACCAAATTAACTTAGTTATGGACAATAACCCTCCATCATGAAAAACCCACTAGGGAAAGGAGTCAAATAAATTTTGGACACATGTATAAAGAAGAGAAAAAACATCTCGGAGATTATCATCTCTTCTGTAATTTTTTGGTAACTGGTACTATTATCTGAAATCTGTAGGCAAATTGAGTTAAACTTACTGTGCTAAATATATAATTGTTTTCACTAGTGTCCTGTACATTATTTGTTCAACTTCTTACTGAAGTGGTGAAATGTATACTTAGATAAAACTTTTAGTGTATTTAAGTACCCTTGAACACCATTTTTTGTTTGTTTTGTTATCTTATGCAGAGTGTTGTTTTGGTTTACATTTGTGAATATCATTCTTTGTATTTTTGCTGTGTCATTGTCAGTAGTTTTGGTTTGTTACATCTGCCTTTTGGGACATTTTATGGTTTGAATATTTGTTTTACAAGTATATATTACCGAAACAATTACTGCTTCAAAAGTCAGCTTGTTTATTTGAATAATATGTTTTTGATAATACTTATTGTTTTAAATTTGTTATTGTAATAACTATTAATGGTTTAAAAAAATCAATGATTTATCAAATAGAATAAATATGATTATTTTTACATGTGGAATAATAATAATAATAATAATAGGATCTTGTGTAATTTAACTAATTGTTCTCTTACTTGGATTATTAGTTTAAAAAGGCATGCATAACAATGCACATTCAATTAACACAACATCATGTTAGTGAAGTCCACATATGTAAATGTATCCATAGTGTAACATTCAAGTAACACAATATGATGTCAGTGAAGTCTGTATATGTTAACAAATCCATAGTGTAACAATAATGCACATTCCAGTAACACCATGTGGTATTAGTGAATACTGCATATGCTAACAACTCCAAAGTGTAACAATAATGCACATTCAAGTAACGCCATTTGATGTTAGTGAAGACTGCATATGCTAACAAATCCATAGTATAATAATAATGCACATTCAAGTAACACCATGTGGTGTTAGTGAAGACTGCATATGCTAACAAATCCATAGTGTAGCAATAATGCACATTCAAGTAACACCATGTGGTGTTAATGAAGACTGCATATGCTAACAAATCCATAGTGTAATAATAATGCACATTCAAGTAACATCATTTGGTGTTAGTGAAGGCTGCATAACAAGTAGAAAATCTATTATGCAACAACAATGTATTCAAGTAACAAACCATTGAGTTAGTGAAGTTTATGTTGTGAGTGGAAACCCCATAATGTAAAACTGTGTATTGAAGTAACAAATAATGTTGTCAGTGAAGTCCACATGATATCTATAAACCCCCATAATGTAACAATGTGTATTGAAGTAAATAATGTTGTCAGTGAAGTCCACTTGATATCTATAAACCCCCTAATGTAACACTTTGTATACTGAAGTAACAAATAATGTTGTTAGTGAAGTCCACATGATAAGTAGAAAACCTGTAATATAATGGTATATTTTTAAATGACAAATCATGTATTTATGATAGCCTTATAATGTGTAAGACCTATAATGTGACACTAATGCATATTTATGTAACAAACTGTGGTGTCTGAGGTTCATATAAGAAGTAGAAAACTAATATTCTAACAATAATTAGTATTCTATTAGCAAACTATGGTGTTTGTAAGGTCCACTTTGTAAATAAAAATCCTGTAATATAACAGTGTTCTGGATTCTGCTAGTGAACTTTGTTGTCCAAGATTGTCCTTATCTTAGGTTTCCAACTGAACTGTTTACCACCGTTTATATGGACATGCAGTTCCAGCCTTCAAAATAATGTCTTTGGCATGAAGCCAGCAAATGTTTTCCTGTAGCTAGTTTCATAATATACAAGTCCTTTTTTCATCTGAGCTTTCACACCAATTTTCCTATAAAACTCTATAACCTTAATTATTGATATAATTTCATTATTAATACCCATAAAGCTTGTCATAAATGATAGCATGTTGTAACTTTGTATATGAAAAGAAGTTAAATGTTAATATTCCTTAGTGGATTAAAGTTTTTTTTTATCTTTTAATTTGTCGTTACAAGAGACACAAAAAAATATTAGAGTCCAAAGTAGGAAATTGCTTGTTAAGTGTTGATTGGTAAGATATTCTTTTTTATTTCTTGTTTAATCTATCTAATTATCCCACACAATGTATTACACAATGCTTTAGACAAGTAATTTGGTTATTGAGTATTAAGTTGTAACAAGGAAATTGACTTTTTTGCTGAAAATTTGGTTGTTGTTTTCAAGGCAGAATTTAAAATAACCTTGATGCTATGAAATGCTAAGTAATCTGATTAAGAGAAATTTAAAGCATGGAAAATGTAGGAAATATAATTTGTTTTTATTAATCATGTATAAATTACCAAAAAATGGTTAACATTATACAGAATTCTGTATGGCCCACTTAATTTTTTTTGTCAATATAGTTGTACAGTGTGCATCATTACCAAAGTTTGTGATGTTGTACTGCTATACAGAAACTGTGTGTAAAGTGTTAATCTTTCAACTATCATAGTCAGGTTTGTACTAGTGTCCAGATCACTTTATTTGATGATTTTGAGTGTTAAATTTTCATGGTAGAATTTTATGCCTTTTAATATCAAACAGAAAATGACAATTTCATTAAATAAATATTTTGGTTAACTTGTTTTTGTATCTTTAATAATGTTAGCTAATCAGATGCACTGTGTTGGCAGCTAGTATATTGAAACAAGGCAATGAATTACTTTGATAAAAAAAAAGTTCTTTCTTAGTTAAATTAATTAAATTCATAAGAACTGTTATAGAATATTTTGTACTTTATATACTGTATTTAAAAGTTACCTCATTACAGGTTTGCCACTTCAGTTCATTGCCTCGATGGCTTCAAGACAACGATTTCCTTCATATGGGTCATAGACCTCCGCTTCCATCATTCAGTGCCTGTTTTGGGTCTATCTTTAGAATCCATACTGAGACTGGAAATATCTGGACCCACCTTCTAGGTAGCTAATTTATAATGTGTTTGTTTTGATTTTCTGTTAGCCATATAATTTCTGATAGTTGAAGGTTGGAATGTGTTTTATTGAAAAATTTGATGGGGAACACATCTGTTAGTTCTATTTTCCCAGTTTCGTTTTATGATTGGTATTAAGGTATTACATGGAATATTATGGTTTTCATTATTACATTGAAGCAGTGAAAAATATATAAAATAAGTAAATAATGTATTTCTTTGTGAAAAGGAATTCAGTTTCTATGTTTTTAGCATGAATGAAGGATTTCCTGAAAAGTTTAAAAAATTATATAACATTAAGCAAAAAGTTCTTCCACGTCAGTTGATATGGAAAAGTTCATTATGGCTGGTGTCTAATGTAAAAATACAATTTCCAAATATCTTTTTATATAAATGATGTGAAGTTAAATATAAAGAAATTTCCATTTGCAGGGTGTCTGATGTTCATTGGTGTAGCCTTGTACTTCCTGACTCGTCCATCAGAACAAATTCAGTGGCAAGAAAAACTAGTTTTTACTGCCTTCTTTGCTGGCGCCATCTTGTGTCTTGGAATGTCATTTGCTTTCCATACTGTTCACTGTCACTCTGAGAAAGTTGGCAAGTTGTTTAGCAAGTAAGTACCCTAGATTATATTTTTAAGCTCAAACAAATCAAAACTTAATCTTTAAGTTGACATACAAAATTACTCCAGTCAATTTTACACCCTCCCCTTTATCCCACTCATTGGAATGTTCATGAAATTGAAAATTTCCTATAGATTTCTGTAATTATTGGGTTTACATAAATGGTGTATAATTTCTAATAATGTCCTAGAATATTTGACTAAGAAAGTATGTACTTAGTTAACATTTCGGGCAACTACCATGGTTATTGTTAGGCTGTACTTGGCTATAATGTTTGGAAGGAAGACTGTTTAGTCCCTTAACCCACATACTTTGGTATCTTGCCATCTGGTTTAGTCAGATTTGGGTAATTGCCAGACTAAATGTTGTGTAGCAGGCATAAAAGATAAGTTAATGAATGGCATGTCCTGACTTTTTTAATTGCACTTTCTGTGGCTTTAGTATTTAATAAAAATGAGACAAAATTAGTGGCTTTGTCTGATGCTTGTCTGGGATAAATTAATCTTTTCTAGATTTTTCAAACGTTATCTGGATGTTTCAGTAGTTTTCTGGTGTTATCACAAGTTATTTAGGTGTATAGTTATAGACTTCTGGTGTTTTCATGAGTTATTTAGATGTACAATTATAATCTTCTGGTGTTTTCATGAGTTATTTAGATGTACAATTATAATCTTCTAGTGTTTTCATGAGTTATTTAGATGTACAATTATAATCTTCTAGTGTTTTCATGAGTTATTTAGATGTACAATTATAATATTCTAGTGTTTTCATGAGTTATTTAGATGTACAATTATAATCTTCTGGTGTTTTCATGATGGTTTCACAAGTGATTTAGACATACCAGTATAGTCTTCTGTTGTTTTCATGAGCTATTTAGATGTACAGTATAGTCTTCTGGTGTTTTCTTGAGTTATTTAGATGTACAGTATAGTCTTCTGGTGTTTCTATCAGTTATCTAGATATACAGTATTGTTTTTTGGTATTTTCATCAGTTATCAAGACATACAATGTAGTCTTTCAGGGTTTTCATAAGCCACCTGGATGTTCAACATCGTTTTCAGTATAGTATTGCAGAAACTTCTAAAATCGATAAAATGTCACATGATTTTTTCAGTTGTACTTTGTTAAACAGTTTATACAGAAATTCCGTTAGTTATGAGATTTGATTAGTTGCTTTTATGACGTTTAAAAATTTGTAGTTGGTTAAATAGAAAAGATGACTATACTAACAAAGAATGAATAATTCTTCTTATAATCTTTCAAGTAAACACATCTCTTGAATGTTATTTTAGAGATATTATTGCAAATTGTCCATACAATTTCACTTTGCATGTTTCTTATGAACATTTTATTTTGAGCTATGATTTGACTCCTAAGTTGATTATTCAAGAAATTAATATATAGGTTTATGAGACAAGCTTCTATATATATTTGATCAGCATGTATTTGAGAAGTAACAACAAAAATCAAAGGTTCACAAAATGTGTTAAACATCATTTAAGTAATTTATTATGTTATAGCTTCATAAAAATTAGTTATTTGGCTATGCTTTTGATACTGTTCTGTTACTTCACTCCACACTTAACTGTAACATATATCTTTGAATTTTATCTCAGATGCCATGTTCCTTTAAAGTTACACTGTTGGAGCTATTTAAGGGGGGTTCATTGGTTACAAAATGTTTTTAGGGAGGGTTGTGGAAATTTCTGCTTTTAAGTACTTAAAATGATTTTATATTGTTCTTGAAACTGATGGCTACTCTTTGTACATTCCATAAGTAAGGTATACTATATTTTTTCTTTAGTGTTACTTTTGTTAACAATATTGATTAGAGTGCTTTATATATCTAAGTTTATCATTTTTAACTTTAATTTTTGTTATTATACCTTCATAAGAGAGGTTATTTTGCATTGTTATACTAATTTTATATATTTAGACTAATTAGTATATTATTATATGTATTTAGGACAAACCTAAATCTCCTAAACTGGCCAAACCTCATGAAGTATTATTGGGTGTATGGGCAAAATATCATTAACAATGAGGGCTCTGAACTGATAAAACAACACTATCTAATCTTTATAGAATGTGTTAAAAATATATTTAACTAGCCACAATCAACAAAACATTTGTTGTATTTTTTACACACACCATTTAAGCTATGACTTCTTGCAGATATTGTGTGTTAGATCGATAAATCCTGCTCTATTTGAAAAAAATTTTTGTGTGGTTAGACAAATGAACTTGTATAGACATAACTTTATTTAATAAAACTACACATAAAATATAAAATAAAGTAATATAATGGTACTTATAATAGTGCACAAAATATGAAACAGTTATGAGCATTCAGTGTACAACATAGTTTTATAAGTTGAAACAAAGAAACTCATAAAAACGAAGAATAAAACCAGTAGTAAAGAAAAAATTAGCTAAAAGGTATTTATAGCAGTCTTTGAAATGAACCAAAGCTAAATTAATGTAAAGTAAAGTAAATGTAAAGTTGTAATGAAGGCAAATTTAGCTGAATATGCAGTAATGTCTGAATACGCATTCACAAAGTGATAAGCATATAGTTTTAAACAAAGTCCATAGAAATTGTATTTAGTGTAGTGTTAATTTTTTTAGGAAATTACATGTGGGTTAAGTGTTGTTTATGTGAAATACTTTGCAACTAAAAAACTAAAATTGAAATCGAAGCCAGTCGTCATGTGATGGTAACAACATTGTGCCATACATGTTGCAATGAAAAGTTTGACTAAGTGAAAAACATGTAAGGTGATTTTGAATTGAAAAGCCAATATGCAATCCTGACTCCTCGGACAAAGGCCTTTCTAACGATGTGCGATTTGTAACATTTGATTGAGAAATTTGCGAGAAAAGTTCCGGACAGACAAACATAAACGTATTATTTATATAGATTAGTTATACTCATTATCAGGTTGATTTTTAGTTTCACACTAAATAGGTAGCTTGTTCTGTTTGATAATTAATATTAATAAACAACAATTTAGTTTAGATCTGTTACATTGCTTAGGCTACAGTAAAATGACAATGATAGGACAAGTGAGGAACAATATTATGAGTATACAATTTTTAGAGCTATAATAGCAAAATCCTTACAGATGTTTTTAGTCCACAGTGTGAATTTCTCTATGCTTTAATAAATTTTTGATTTAAAGAGTACTTAGAAGTGATTTAATCTCATACTGCAACTTGCTTGTGCTCGCGTGGTTCACTAATGATACACTGGTGCAGTTTATCAGAATAGCAATGGGATTTCCAAGTATAGCCCAGCTGTGAAGTTGTTTAGTGCATTGTATAACCTGCACCAATAAATGCTTATACCTCTCATATTTATATAAACATCTCTAACATATATCAAGCAGTACTTGACCAAAAATGCATTTAACACAAATCTTTTTTAGAAGCATCAGCCAGTAAAAACAGAATTAAAAAGACAGACATTTAGGAAACTGATGGGCTCATTCCTACTTTAGGGATGGACAAAAATATTTGAAAGGAAAAATGTACTTGCAATTAGCTTTATTGTTTAATTATAATGTAATATAAAAAAAATCATTGTGATAATGTAGAAAAAGCTATAAATAGATAGAAGAGTTAAAAGTTCTCTATCACTATTAAGAATGCATTGAATTCTATTAGTCCTCAAGTTAGCGACTTGTTTGTATGTGCTTCACTACTAATGGGGTCTATATATTACATCACATTGAGTAACTTTTTATTTTTGCTTGTTACCACATTTGGGGTAAAGAACTGTCCCAGTCAACAGAGTGAAGACATACAGTTAGGTTAAATTGCTCATTTTCTACTTAAAATATAAACAGTGTAGTCTTTTAGAAGCACTACGCTGAAAGAAATATGAACAACAATTTACATCTGATAGGATATTTAGTCTTAATAAAAATAGTTTTGCTCATTATAGCGGTTTTGGGCTGCTAATCTGGTGTTGACAGAAGTGAGGTGAACATGTTTTTCAGGTTGGTTGTTGCTAGGCCTCCTAGATGCCAAAGAATTATGTCTCTGAGATACAATGGCAATCTCATTTTTGCTGTTTAATTTTTATACAATGTTATAGAAAATAACTAATGAATTTCACACAGAAATTGAGTTATTAATTAAATTACTTGATCAAAATCAAAGTTACTTCAAAATCTTGTTTTCAAAGCAACAAAGCATCATCATCCACAATGGGTGGATACCTGTTTCAGGTTATCAATATAAAGTATTCTCTTCCTTGTGTATTATCTCTTAAATTATCAAAGAATGTATTTTGTGTAAGAATAGGCAACAGTTGCAAAGTAGTACTACCATACAGTTAGAAGCTGTATCAATTTGTGTGTATTTTTTTCAGGTTAGATTACTGTGGAATAGCCTTACTGATTATTGGATCCTTTGTACCCTGGCTGTACTATGGTTTTTATTGTGAATTCCAGTATAAGCTCATCTACCTTATCCTGGTGTCTATACTGGGACTAGCAGCCATTATTGTTTCCTTGTGGGACAAGTTCAGTGAGCCCAGGTTTCGCTCGCTACGAGCAGGTTTGTAGATGAAAGTTTCTATCAGCAAAATTTTTAAATATCTAGAGCTAATGTTTTTAAAGCAAAATATTTTAAAGATTCCAGTTGTAATAAAAGTTTAGTTGGATATCCTTTATGTATACCTAATATTTATACTGTTGTTTGAGTCTCACACAACTTTGAAATGTATTTAACTGCTTGGTAATGTATTCTGTATGAAATCTAATTTGCTACTTAAAACAAGGAGTATGCAGTTAGGCTTAACTCTTTCTTCAAGCAAATATAATTGAACCATACATAATATGCACGTTTTATAATTTGAAAAGGGAAAAAAAATAATTGAGAACACTTAAGTTAGTTTGAAAAAACAACAATGGCACTATAAACAAGTGCATATTAGCAATATGTATAACACTATCAGAAAGTATTATTTAACAATATAAAGTGCTTATCATTTTCTGAAACTGTTGTAACATACACTTGCAAGACTACAATTCTTAATAAAAAAAAATTTTATATAAACTAACTGGCCACTTTATTAGGACACCCATTCAATATCAGGTTGGATAATCTTTTATTGCGATAACAGACTACATCACACATTTCTTGTTTATTGCCCACAGGTTACACCCTGAATGTCACTGAAATAGTGCTTTCCTGCTTTTAACTGAGATATGCAAAGTTTAGACTGGTTGTTGGTTGCCACATTACAGATTTCATAATGTCCTTTATGCGATAAAGTTATAGATAGTTCAGATCCTGATTGCTGGGACATAGTGTGATGTCTGTTGTACTGGAAAATCTGTCCAGTCGTCTTTTTCATTTGGTCTGGTATCAGTTGTGGTGGTCACAGTTTTTCTATGGGCAGATGTATTCTCTCTTGATTGCCACTGTTGATAAACCTTGATGGCAGACATCTTTGAATAACGGAGCAACTGACATAATGTCCCTTTAAAAAATGTATGTGGTCTTTGCACTTACCCACTATCTTGCAGACTAAAGCAGATATGACTATATCCGTGTTTTTATATCTTTAACCATCATCTTTATATACAAACAGCTCTCTGTGTCACATCTATTTTTAGATATGTAATAAAAAACAAAATGGCTCTTTTTTAATATATAATTATTTTACAAAGTTGAAACTGGTAAACTTTCTTGAGACTGGTAGAAATTTCCCAACTTGTGTGGTTAATATCATGCTTTTCAAGGCCAAATAAATTATATAATGTGTCCAGTATATGTGCCAAGGCAGTAAAAGAGTTAAAGGATCTCAACAATTACATGACATTATTCATCTACCTTGCATGTGCAAACAAATTGTGTTTTACAGATGTATGTTTTGGGAGTTTCTAATGAAGAAGTCAGCCATAATAATGTGTTAATATCTTTCTGTACAAGTTAATCTGTCATTTTGGTAAATACTTGTCTTTTGACTATGTAACTACCTCTGCAATGTGTGATAGGTTTATTTTATTTTCATCATATTTATTAAATAATACTTAGCTGTAGATGTGTTTGGTTGATAATCCAAATTAAATTGTTAACGTGTCTTGTGAAATTAGTCACTGATACCATATATATAGGAACTATCTCATATCTTCTGAAATTGTAGACAGTAACCTCCCCTCCAATCCCCTATGGGGTTGTGGGATGTTCCAAAAGGGAATCATGATAAGGGAATTGAAATGATACAACAAATCTTTGAAGTTGTTTATAAATACTAATATATTCTAAAAAGAGTTGCTTCATAGCCTTAACCTTTGCTGTCTGGCTGTCCTACAGGAAAAGTAATTCCTTTTTTCTCTCTTTAGTTAATTTCAGACTTTTGTGCAAAACTTTAAAAGAGTTTCTTACAAGTAGTCATCTCTAATTTGTAAATGACAGGCCAGAAGAAAAACAAGTATTCAGCATCACACACTACCAACTATTGTGTTACTTTTGTCTGATAGAATAGAGAAATTTGATGATCACTCTTATATAGCACATGTATAAGCATGTTTTTGTGCTAATGGGATGTGAACCTTGAATCTCTTGATCCACAGTCTGGGCACAATAACCAGTTGGGCATATCTGGCCTTTTTTTTAGTATTATACATCTTTTATGATTGATTAAAACTTAATTATATATGTAGAACTCTATTATTGTACTTGAATATTCACCCTCCAAAAAGAAGTCTTGGATTGAGAAAGTTTGAGACTTGTACTATTTGATTGTACCTTGATCATCAGATGAGTTTTTTTCACTTCATTTGCTTTTATATTAGTTAGAGCACTATATCTTTATAACTTCACTCACTTTTTTGTGAAGTGTAAACCTACATACACCTACCTGATCAGATGATTAAATCATGTATTTCAACACAAAGAAATTTATAATAGTTCATTATCTGTACTTAAAATGCAATAAGTCTTGCAAACAGTTGTATCTGGTAATTGTAAAAAGTTTGAAGTTTTGCCAAATGCAAGACACAAAAAATTTATTAATGTACCTTATATTAAAATAATTTTTTTTTTTACAGGAGTGTTCATGGGTTTTGGATTAAGTGGGGTCATTCCCGCTGTGCATTACCTTGTTGCAGAAGGATGGGTTCGTGCTATTTATCATGCATCATTTGGCTGGCTGTGTTTGATGGGGTCGCTGTACATCATAGGAGCTCTATTCTATGCAATGCGTGTGCCAGAGAGGTTTTTTCCTGGAAAGTGTGATATTTGGGTAAGTTGTTTAATTTCTGAATGTCATTTAACTGCTTACTTTCATTCAGAGTTGATGGCACTTTTGAACTGTCTGTTAGTACTCCAGAGATGAATAGTTTCTCTTTTTTACCATTTGCCTAACAATTATAAGTGTACTTTAAATACCAAACTATATTTCCTAGCATGGTATCTTGGAACTGGAGACTTCTGCAGGATTTTTATGATTATTATTATTCTCACAATAGTAAACTATTTTTTTTTTTATAATTGTGAATTTGATAAAGAAACCAAAACCTTTGAGTTATTTTAGTTTACTTCAGGGGGTAAAGATTGTTCTCACAGTTGTCAGACCAACTTAGGAAAAATATTGACTTAGTTCAAGATTCATGAAACTCCATAAGACTATACTTTGGTAATTTCTTTCATCTTTTTTTAAATAATGGCAGGTCCTTGTGGATCAGAAGGTTCTGTCATATTTAAAGTCTCTTCAAACACATTTTGGTACAAGGGCAAAATAGTTTTTTTCTGTAAACAAATTGTACAGGAAAACAAAAGTCACAAATTGCTTAGAACTGTATTTAATAGCTCACTATGTGATAAAATTTGAACTGCAATAAATTTCATTTTACTGAAAAGAACAATATTGTGCTGCTGTACTTAAAACATTCAAACATTTTAACTCCAAGTTATATAACTGGCAAATGTTGGATAAAATAACTGCAACTGTTTAGCTCATTAGATAAACTTTGTGTTTATGCATGAGAAAGTTATTTCTGAGAAGATGTTCTCAAATTTTCCTAGTTGTAAATTATCATTTGGTTCTGATAGTAAATGTTGAAATCTTCATGTAAAAATGTAATTGTGTTTGATAATTATTTGAATAGCTCTTTATAAGTTGAAAGGTATGGTTGATGTAAACACTAAAGACATTTAGTCATGTTTGATAAGTTAATGTAAATTTTAGAAATATGTTTATTAATTTTCTAAATTGTTTTTATGAACTGAGAAACAATTTTCAAAGACAGCTACTTAGTTTATGGTAGATGCCAATTCTTGTTCTCTTTAGTGTGTTTTTATGAACAAAATGAATGTTAAAAACTTGTATGAAGTACAGTATTTATTTGTTATTACTTTTCCCATTTACGTATGTTAAGTTTCTTTTTTATTCTCTCTTCTAGTTTCACAGTCATCAGATATTCCACATCTTAGTTATAGCTGCTGCATGTGTCCACTATCATGGCATATCTGAAATGGCTATGTCTCGACTGACTCTAGGAGAGTGTGTAGATGGTGCAATGGAAGATGATCAGTTTATGTACATTTTGTAATCCAGAATATGATTATGTTTGGACTTTTTTGGCATCCTTGAAGTTTGTTATTTATCCACAAAACCATTCCTGGCCTTATAAAAGTTTTACTCGTATAATATACCCTTTCTTATACTCTAAATTACTGACAACAGTAACATTGACCTGATAAACTAATAATTAATGAACTTGTATTTAGACCATATATATAGTGAAAATTGTAATTTACGGGTAGAAAATTATCCCCTTAAGTTAACCCTAGAAACCAGCGGAGGTAAAGTCTAGAGAATTAGCAGCTCGACACAACCTCCAGTGATTGTTTAAGGAAAGGAACCATCACTCTGATGATAATAGAATTGTTGATGTAATGTATCAGAAAATTTAGGAATTTCTACTCTGTGATAGTTTGTCCATTGTATAAACACTGCATCATATATATATATATATATATATATGTATGTTTTTTTTTTTCTTTTTCTTCTTACATTCATACCTTTGTACTTGGGACACATGAGACACAAACTTATAGTTGATTTATTTAGTCTTAAAAATATGCTTCCAGAAAACGAAAAAAGACAGCATTTTGTTTGAATACCAGAATATTTAGAACATTTTATGTGGTAATATTAGTAACGTGTACTATATCATATTTTAATTTCCCACATACTTAATGGACAAAAGTCATACAAAACTTTCTGTTATTAAGATGGTACTTTCATTTCTTGTTCTTTGAGGGAAGGTAAACAAAACATTCACACACACACTGCTTTTTTCTTCTGTTTCATCAAAGTAAAGTAATAAAAATAATAGTTGAATGTTCTTTTATTCAAATTAAGAAACATCTGATGGCTGTTATGACATTGAAATGTACCTTAAATCTGGAGAATCATCGAGTTTAATTGCTTTTTTATGCAATCAGTTAGTCTTTGGCCAGTGATTGATTGGCAAGAATTTAAGAAAAAAATCATGACTGGAAGGCCTAAGGTAGTGTATAAAACTTATGTTTCTTCTCTACGAAGTAAAACAAGCTTCTTTGCATAACTAGAGCTCTATTTGTTAGAAATAGAGTGGTGGATGTTAGCTCTTAGAAAATTACAACAATGTGTTGAGACCAAACTAGATTGTTCCTTCATTTTTTGTATATTGTAAGCAAGTGTGTGTGTGTGTGTGTGTGTGTGTGTATACATGTAGCAAAAAAAATGGTGTAGGTGTGTTCCTTGTTTTCTGTTGGAAAGTATTAGGTAATGGTTTATGATTTTATTGGATAGAAAGTTATATTTATTGAGTATATTCATTTTGTGTTCAAGTTGCAATGGAGTCTGAAATTACCAAAATATGTGATTAGGAGGAAGTAAATTTATCAGATAAGAATTACTTGTGTATGTGATTTACAGTTGTAAGGCTATCTAAAATCTGTTGGGTGTCCACATTTTTTTTCCATGGAAAATTACTGTGTACACAGTTAGTCTATTAATGTTGACCACCAGAAGGCCAAACTTTTGAAAATTTAAAATAGTTTCATATAATAAGGCTTAAAAAAGGTTGTAGTCAAGTTTGTTTTTTCTTTGGATGAACTAGTTAAGTAGTTTAAGAAGTGTATTTTCAGTTCACAAATTTAATAAATTATGATTATATATATATATAAATGTTATTTAATGTCAACCTGTACCACTTTTTGACTTTTAACGAGTTCTGGGCCGGCATGGTCTGGTGGTTAGAGCGCTCGAATCGCAATCTGAGGATCGCGGGTTCGAATCCCTGTCCCACCAAACATGCTTGCCCTTTCAGCCGTGAGGGCGTTATAATGTTGCGGCCAATCCCACTATTCGTTGGTAAAAGAGTAGCCCAAGAGTTTGCGATGGGTAGTGCTAACTAGCTGCCTTTCCTCTAGTCTTACACTGCTAAATTAGGGACGGCTAGCGCAGATAGCCCTCGTGTAGCTTTGCGCGAAATTCAAAGCAAACCAAACTAACCAGTTCTTTTTCTAGTGAGTTGCACAATTCGCGTGAGCTTAGGGGAAGCAGGATGCTGAGATAGGAATAAAACATATTTAATTTCATGCAAGTGAATATTCGCTCAGGTGATAGTCATAATTGAATGTCTACATGACTGCTAAAATAACTAACAGATTGTATTTATAAGATGAACACAAAAATATATAGCACGATTGCGTGTAGTCGCGAAGAAATAAATAATATTGAGTACATCAACACAAAATGTTCACAACAAGATCGTAAAATATACAGTTTAAGAATATCTTCAAGAAAGTTTAAATTCGTGATATATTTCAATGAATACGACAAACAACGTCAGATAAATGTTTATTTATTCTATCCGACATTTCGGGCCACTCTTTTTTTCAAGGGTCACAGGTTACAAAACTGATTTAAACTTATAGTAACCGAAAAGAATATAAAATAACAACAATATAATCGAACGATGAAGCGTACTAAAAGTATTGATAAACGGGTTAGTCTCAGATCAAATAAGTAAATGTTAAAAAAAAACTTGCATGAAATAATAATAATAGTATTATAGGGGCTAGGCATTGTATCTGTTAATGGAAGGGTATTTTGATTGAATGAAAAGAGAATATTTAAATTTTCTATCAAGAAATTTGTCACAAATCTCCCAATTTTGATCCGATAATGTGTATCTTTAATTTATATTCTTTTCGGTTACTATATTTTAAAATCAGTTTTGTAACCTGTGACGAAACGTCGGGTATAATAAAGAAACATTTATCTGAAGTTGTTTGTCGTTTTCATTGAAAACGGATTCCATCATTCAGTCGGAACTGAAAGCTTTAAAAAATGATAAGAAAACGACGTATCTTACTGCCCCACCCAGTAGCACAGTGGTATATCTGTGGACTTACAACGCAAGAATCCGGATTTCGATACCCGTGGTGGGCAGAGCACAGATAGCCCATTGTGTTGTTTTGTGCCTAACCTCAGAAAACAAACAAGTCTTACTAGCAATTGTTAAAATGGTTAGGTTAAAAAGGCTAAGTGAGTTACGTAATCGAAGGGAACTTGATCAACATAGAAAAAATATTATTAAACAGCGACGTCACTGAAATCTCAAAAGTGGATTGGTATTTATATAAGTTACATTAAGATAACATAACATAATGTTTTGGGAAACAAGGGACTAGTGGTCCATCTCGGCTGTTTCATCCTCTAAACAAAATTGATATTTTAAAAATATCTTAAAGCCAGCCCTTATCATTCATATGTATATATATATATATATATATCAAGCTTTTCTTAAACTCGCTTATATTTACTGCCTCTACAATATCCGAAGGCAACCCATTCCAAAGGCCAACCACCCTGTTAGAAAAATGAACTGTCTTAGCTGAAGATGACTCCTACCTTGCCAAGTCGTACTATTCTCATTGTTAGATATGTAAAAAATATTATGCATCAACACTATCAATTTCCTTTACAATCTTAAACATCTCAATAAGATCCCCCCCCCAAACTCATATTTTTTCAAAAAAAAATTGCGAGATTATCGATTACTCATTAAAGAAAGTTTGATAGCAGTCTCAATAGGGAAGAAATATGTGTACGGGGTCAGAAAGTAATAATAGTTTAATAATGTTGATGTATGTCGCGTTACGCAAACGATTTACAAGCTACATGTATCAAAAAGCAGTGTTTAACAGGATTTTTTACATTTCAAATAAGTTTTGCATAATATATAGTGCTTTCCAATCATGCTTGTCTTACATTGTGTATTTCTAAGTAGGTTAACTGATATTAAAACAGCTAGATACGTTCAGAACTTTGCAGTGTTTCTGGTATAACCAAACCCTGCACGAGATGCTACACCACTATGTCTATTATGTTTCAGGACAAAAATAGTCAAGAGTTGAAGTTGGGAGGGGGAGGGGTGACTCGCGTCCTTGGCATTTTAGGTTGAGCATCTTCTCTGTGAAATTTTGGGGATATAGTCGCCCTCCCTGGGAACTGTTTTCTACCATACGCTGATCCGTAGCAAGGAGAGACTTTGTGTCATTAAACCAAATGTTTCTCTCTCTGTTATCTTGGGAGTAAATGCGCATCATGAGGTCATAAACCAAACCAACTCGTTAAATATCCTACCGGAAGCAGAAGTGTTGTGCTCTGGGCTGGACCAGTAAGTTTCTCTGCATGGTTAGGTCATTGGTCACGTTCTATTCGCGCGAGATTTTCTGCAGCACATGGCACGTTCTCCGTGAGTTTTGAAAGAAGCTGATCTAATGGGAAGAAAAAACAAGCCTAAGACAAAATGGAGAAAACTCTCTCTCGGTAAGATTTGTAATATTTAATATTAAATATCTGAACGATTCATGAAGATAAAGATGGTGAATGAAGCGTGTAGAAATTAGCACTAATTGATTTCACATAAATAGTACTTTACATCTCGTAATTGTAGAATTTGGAGGATAGACAATTTTTATAGAAAATTGTGATGCCTCATGGTGGTTCAACGGTACGTCTGAGGGCTTATAACGCTAGAAATCGGTTTTTGATACCCGCATTGGGCAGAGCATAGATAACCCATTGTGTAGCTTTGTGCTTAACAAAAAACGAACAGAAAAGTATAATATTAAAATTGTTTTTTTAATATGGAAGAAGTTAAGGGCTAAGTTAGAGAATAATCCGGACGGTTTTATTAAGGTTCAATGAAATTAAGTATTTGTTCATAAACTATTTCTTAAAGGACCAAGGTTTTGTACATTAATCCTCCAAGACTTTATCCTGAAGTGGCACTCTGAACTAGGAAGTTTCTGCCTTTTTTGACGTGGTTTATTCGTGTATGTTCTGATATTCGAACTTGTTTGAACCACATAGTGTACGTGTTTTTTCCGTCTAATTTGTTGCCTTGTAAAATACTTTTTAAAGAATTCTTCACTTGTATCATACAAGAAATACTTTGTAAAAACTTGGTTTATTGAAGTTTTGAGTTCATTAATTAATAAATCTTTTGGCTGGCAAGAAGAAAGTATTCTAGGTACAACTTAACTCGGTTGTAACGTGTTTTTGTTTTTTTCAATAAATATATATATAGTTGATCTGGTTTACGTACCATGAACTTGATTAGATAATGATCCTTTGGGGTACGGTCAAGGTTTTTCAAAGTAGGAATAATAACTGGAAACGACAGAAAAACGTTAGTCATAGCAGTGACCAAGTGTATGTGGGCACGTTGAAACATCCATATTCTGATTATGTATGATTTACGCAGTCTTCATGAAGAACAAAGTCGAAATGGAGAGCAACCATTTGGTGCACAGTGAAACTTGAGGATGGAGGCCTAATCTCAGGTGAAAAGGACGAATGTTTTGTACATTAGTCCTCCAAGACTTTATCCTGAAGTGGCACTCTGAACTAGAAAGTTGCTGCCCATTTTGACGTGGTTTATTCGTGTATGTCCTGATTTTCGAACTTGTTTGAACCATATAGTGTACGTGTTTTATACGCCTAATTTGTTGCCTTTTGAATATTTTATTTTATTATTCTCCAGTTAGACATCTCTACATACTTTGAGCAGTTAGCTTTACAGTGAGGTAACAGTCACACAGTCTTACCTCTTCAAGCTACTGCACAAGTTGTACATTGATAAACCAAGAAATCAATTTATGTCAGGAAGGTCAACGTGATTTTGATATACTTTACAACTTTTATCTGCCACGCATTAGAAATATAAACTCAATAATTAATATTATCATTTTGATCAGAGCAATCTGTTTACTTGGAGCGAAACTAAAAAATCAAC